CCAGGAACAGGAAGACCAAAAATGGGCAAAAGAGGGAAGGAAACACAAGACACAGGAACACAAGACTGAACTCAGGGACTGGAGCCCTCCCTGGGCTTAACGGGGGATCAGGAGCCCTCCCTGAGCTAAACGAGGAATCAGGAGCCCTCCGTGGGCTATACTCGGGAACAGGAGCCCTCCCTGGGCTATACTCGGGAACAGGAGCCCTCCTTGGGCTTAACTGGGCATCAGGAGCCCTTCCTGGGCTTAACTGGGGATCAAGAGCCCTTCCTGGGCTTAACTGGGGAACAGGAGCCCTCCGTGGGCTATACTCGGGAACTGGAGCCCACTCCGGGCTGGATTTGGGGACTGGGAAGCGCTTACGAGGAGCTGACACTGGAGGGTGCTCTGGAGGAGCAGGCACAGCAAGGCGCTTTCGAGGAACTGGCACTGGAGGGTGCTCTGGAGGAGCAGGCACAGCAAGGCGCTTTCGAGGAGCGGGCACTGGAGCGAACTCGGGGGCTGGAGCCGACACTGGAGCAAGCTCTGGGGCTGGAGCCGACACTGGAGATCCGGACGACGCGCTCTGCGCTTTCTATGAGGCAAGTCTGAACGTCGAGCGCTCGTCCGAAGATGGTCCTCGGGAGGAATTTGCCGCCATCGTGGAGTGGACTCTGGCGAGAAACGGGTCGCCACTCACCATCGGCCCCGTGGATGATCTCGCCGGATCGATCCGCGGGCCAGAGCGAAGCCAAGCGACTGAGTGGAGGATCGCCTCGGATGTTGAGCCCAACCCGTCAGACCAGGTGCTAGAGCTGGTGACAGTGCCCACCACGAGGGAGCAAGCCGTGGAGCTCCGCCCCCTGCATCATGGCTGAGGGTGAGCTGACTATGGCGGGACATAAGGGCCAGAATATGGAGGGAATTCAATGTCAAAACGAGGAGGAGAGACCTCGGAATCCTCAGTTTAGCCCAGGAAGGGCTCCCGATCCCCTGTCGAGCCTTCTCGATCCCCTGTCGAGCCTCGGAATGGCTCTCGATCCCCTGTCGAGCCTAGGAATGGCTCCCGATCTCCTGTCGAACCTCGGAATGGCTCTCGATCCCCTGTCGAGCCTCGGAACGGCTCTCGATCCCCTGTCGAGCCTAGGAATGGCTCCCGATCCCCTGTCGAGCCTAGGAATGGCTCCCGAT